TCCCAGGACTTCCTTAAACGTGAGGTCGGAGGGCATCGGAAGAAATAAAAGTTCTAGGACTTCGTTGATATCGATGACAATGTGTTAGACTGTTAAAAGAAAGGATGTGCATTACATGTACTGTTAGTTGGTAGGAGTTACCTGTGCACAGCTTCCATCGTATTCCACCAAGAATTTAGAAGGTTCGTTTTCGAAGCAAATTGCATATCTGCAGTACAAATCTCTGCATCATTGCAACTGAATCACTGCAGCTTGTACTCATAGTGAGTATAAGGCACCCACTTCTCATCGCTGCTGACTGCGTTGAATACCCTACCGTAAGGAATAGTGTAAGTAAGAGTCCAAGAGGGGACAAAACGATGTCAGACCGGTATTTGGGGATAGTGCGAGCTCATCACGTGGAATCACGTGGAATTAAAGTATAAATTCTCAGAACTCCTGATCATAAGAATGTCTACTACTGCCGTCCTGACACAGTGAAGGTGCTTTGCCAACTAACAGCAGAGGGCTTGAGATTTTTGAAAGCCGTCGCATAGAGGAGAAGTATCAATAGCTCAAGCACAACAGCACGTGCCTCTATTCGGATAATAAACTGCTTCTTAGAGTAGAGGTTTGGGCGCAGTTTGTCGACGGGGGGCATTTTGCTTTCCATAGATGTGTCGACCCATCTAGGTAGCGTTTTCTTGAGTTGACACGTTTTTGGGATGGTGGCTAGACGATCCTGCTCCAGCTTTACAAGCGTTCACAAGTTTTACCAAAGTGAGATTTGCAAACCAAGGGAAGCAGTGATAGTACAAAATGAAGTACAAAATGCCCCCCCCCCGCCGATAAACAGCGCCTGGTCTGTGTCTTCTGTATACCATAGAAAAGAAAACGTGATCGCTGTATCGCTTAGTAGATTGATCGTGCAGGTTATTACTGAGGTAGTCATGAGGAATAAGAGTCTCAAAAAGCACGCCGCAAAACTGGGGCAGCTGCCACAAAAAGGAGCTAGCAAGTGAGCTAAGGGTTGGTCGGAACCAAAGAATTTAAGTGTAATAACAAGTCACAGGGTTTCGGCATTTTGAGGTTTCTTTATTATTAGAGGCATTGCATTAGGCAGCGTTCGCAGACTTGTCGCGCTTCCGCGCGTCGATTGTAGCGCTTCAACGAGCGCAGCTACTCTTGAACACGCTACAATTGCACTCCAATTACATGCACCAGACCCCAGCTTCCCTTTATGTTCTTTCTTCCGGTATTCAACCCCTTTTTCACTGTTTCTCATTTCTACCTGATTCTTAGCTCCTCTTTTTTTGCATTGAATTTTAATGTAGTTTTTGACGTTTTTGAAGACGAGTTTTTCTGGAACTGTATATGAAATCATTATCACAGTGTCCTCCATCGAAAACTACATTGAAATTCAATATTAGGGAACAGGGAGCGACGCATAAGAAACACATGGAGAGACATCTGAAAAAGGGATATAGAATACCGGAGAACAACATAAACGAAGTTGGGGTGCTGGTAAAAATTGGAAGTTTCAATGTAGCGCGCATTGAAGCGCGACAAGTCTGAACGCTGCATTATGGGGCAACCTAACAGTCTTGTGAAGATACGCGTATCTCGCTCTTATTATTACTGAGGGAATCGATACCGGTACCGAAATGCTTACCTATACCGAAGGGTTACATTGCATACCAGCTACCGGATTCCGAAGGCATACATGGACACTTTTGTTCGCTGCAGATGATGGGGCGTTTCAGGAGTCTGGGTCCAGAGCGGCGCCAGTCCGTTTTCTTCCAGATGTTGGAGCGGGCAAGTGACAACAGTTGGTGGAAGACGGACGCACTGCCCGAAGCCAAACCCTCTTCCAAACCTCAGCGTCTACAGCGAAAATGATCATATTCATTCCGTTCGTATTTTTCATTAGCGTATTTCCATATTTGAAACGCGAACTCTTCATTCTGTCTTTTCCTTGCCAAATACGTGACATATTTCCCTACTTTTCAGGATGGGATGCCTCGTAGCCGAGAGCCTTTAAAATACCTGACCTACTACCCGTTTTCTGTGCTCAC